TTCACTGGCATAGGGCCCTGGCCCCCTCTCTGCCTCTGACACTGAGCCATCATCTGAGCCTTCACCAGACTCCAGGACTGACCCCCCCAACCTCCTCACTCTCCGAATCTGCTGGCGGGCCACAGCAAACGGCCACTCTACAAATTGAGTTGCGGGCTGCCTTTTAGGATGTGTCCCTGTAAGCCCCCAACCTGTGACCCTTCTTTGTGTGCGCAGAGCCTGACTTTACCTCCCACATGAGACTGTTGTTCTTGCAGAGGTCCACGTGTTCGGGAGAGATGATCCGGCCCGTAAATGGTCCCATCTCTGTGCCGGCCTTGATCCAGGTTTTGGAGAAGATGCCCAGTCCTTCCCCAGGGATGGAGCTTTGGGCGATGATGACCTCCGAGGGCAGGACGAGGCTGGAGAGCTTCTGGACTTCTGCCAAACGAGAGAACCAGAAGGGGAGAGAGAGATTAACCACACCGGAATAACAGAAGGGACCTTAGAGGTCTTCTAGTCCAACCCCCTGCTCAAACAGGAACCCCTATCCCATTCTGGACCAAAAACACACCCAAAAGTGCAGGTCACGCCCCAAAATTGCTTCCTTCCTCTGGGTTAACCAGCATACTTTTGTCCTGGTTTCTCCAACCAGTTTGCCGAATTAACCATCATTGCCTAGATTTGCCCATCATACAAAGCTGGACTGGCTTCACCCCAGCATTAATGAAGGAATCCTAGTTTGCAGCCTGACCTACATTCTAAATCATCATTTCCCAATTGGTTGGGTTTTAAATTTGGGGACTCCTAAAAAAAACAACCCTCCTCTTCCAAATGCATTTTGGATGCAGACAACTTGCACAACCAGGGGAGTTGTGTTAATGAGCCACACAACAACGTCCTCTCTTTCTCAGTGGCCAAGAGAGATCGGTCAACGTGAATTTGCCCCTAAAGCCTCCATCAGTTCTTCTCTTCCTCTTCTTAATACGGAACCCTGCTTGGTTCCAGTCTTGTCTATAGTTTTTAAATTGTTGATCAGTTTATTTATCTACCTGTTTACTATCTGTAAGCCGCCCAGAGTCCCTTGATAGGTCAAAGGCCTGGTTGGAGGCCCAGTCAGCCAGATGTTCAGACTGGATTTGGCATTTTTGTCCAGCTACTGAGTCCTTCCTGAGGAGGACCTGAGACAGGAAGACGTGGATGTTTGATGGGGTTGCAAATATTGTCGCAGGATGTAAGCCGCTATTGGGACAGCTGCCTTCTGCAATTGACCGATGGGGATTTTGTCAATGCCGATGGTGTTCAAGAGTTGCTCCAGATGTTTTGGAATTGCACCCAAGGCACCCATGGCTAATGGTACTTTATTATCAAAGTTATTTGCCTCCCCCATGTCACAGTTTCCGGTGACTCTGAGCGACCTAATCAATCAGGCAATCAATCAATTCAGTCAATCGAAATATTAGTCTATTTTATGCCATGGTTGGAAGCAAATTGTTGAGAAATATCAAGACTTCCTTGGGTCTAAAAGGACTTTTCTTCTTTTTTGAAACTACCCTGAAAAAGACACTTATACCTAGCGTAAATAAAGTATAAAAATTTCAAGGCTACGTTGAATATCTTTCCATCACGGCAGACTCAGTGCTAAAATCATAATCCGCCACACAGCGCCCTCTTTTGCGAATAGCGCATGATTTGAGGTGTGTCGTGTGCCCTGTGGTGGAAATAATGCACAATACAGGACACACTTGTTGTGAACTTACGGCCAGGTCACGCACCCAGCCTGAAATGATACACACTCGAGGTGGCTATTCTGTGGCTGAGATCTGAAAAAGTAAACGGTCAGAGGGACGGAATTTGCACGAGGGATCTAACGAGATGCCTGGGGTGTCAATCATCAGAGGTCGAATTTGAGATCCCCTCGTTGCTCCTAAAAAGGGACTTTTCTCCAAATGCATCTATCCAACTCAAAAAAAAAAAAAAAAGAGAGAGAGAATTTTGAATGAATGTTCAACTTTTCTTTTTACACAGACCTAAATTTTCTCTCTCCTCTCTCCACTCTTGCCCCCTTTTTACCTCTCTGTGGGCTTTCTAAGAGAGATCTAAACGAGGGGTGAAATCCAGCAGGTTCTGACAGGTTCTGGAGAACCAGTAGCGGAAATTTTGAGTAGTTCGGAGAACCGGCAAATGCCACCTCTGGGTGGCCCCAGAGTGGGGAGAGAATGGAGATTTTGCAGTATCCTTCCCCTGCCATTCCCACCAAGCCACGCCCATGGAACCGATAGTAAAAAAAATAAATGAATTTCACCACTGATCTAAACTCCCCCTTGCTGAAAATCCCCACCAACACCGTAGTTGAAGCTAAAAAAAAAAAAAAACCCAGACGACGCCCAACCCCATGTGCCAACTTTACGTACCTTCTGCAAGACTGCAACCTGTGGCATCCTTAAGATTAATCCCCCCCCTCTATTTTCTCCCAAGGACACCTGGGGCTCTGCGCCGGTTCATTTTATTCATTTATTTTAATTAGTTAGTTAGTCTGTCACTCATATACAAGGTAACAGGAATAAGAATAAACATGAATAAGAACACAAGAAATGGGTACAGATAAATGGGGAAGGTAGGACAGGGACGGAAGGCACGCTGGTGCGCTTATGCACGCCCCCTTTATGGACCTCTTAGGAATGGGGTGAGGTCCACGGGAGACAGTTTGAGGTTGAAGCTTTGGGGGGTTTGAGGATGTAATAATGGAGTCAGGGAGAGCATTCCAGGCGTTGACTCTCTGTTGCTGAAGCCGTATTTTCTGCAATCGAGTTTGGAGCGGTTAACCTTGAGTTTGTATCTGTCGTTTGCCCGTGCGTTATTGCGGTTGGAGCTGAAGGAGTCATTGACAGGTAGATAATGTTGTGTGTACCACACTTAAGTCAGACCGCAGGTAGTTCCAGGTTGTCCAAGGCCAAAATTTCAAGCCTGGTGGCGTAAGGGAATTCTATGGCGAGCAAAGAAGCGGAGGACTCTTCTCATGAAATGCCTCTGGACTCACTCAATTGTGTTAACATTAATTAATTGCGTTAATGTTAATTTTGGCACCCCTCTTCCCGGGAAAAGTGGAACAACAAGGACCAGACCTTAAAAATAACACAACAACAACAAGGCTACCTTGGTTAAGATGGTTCAAGAAAGAACTTGGGAGAAAGGGGGAGTGTGGGAGAGAGGGAGAGGGAGAGGGAGAGAGAGGGAGAGAGGGAGAGAGGGGGGGGGAGAGAGAGAGATCTTGGAAAAGCGAAGAGTGTGAGGTTAAATGGTGGCACGGCATTGCATAAAGCAATTTGTCACGCTGTTTAAAGTGATCCGCATTCATTCAAGACCCTTGGAAGGAAAATGGCTAATTCTAAATTCATTAGCCTTTAGAGAATGCTGTCGGCCAACACTGGGGGGAGAACTGAATGGCCTAAGAAACTTGTTTTAAAAGGCGCAGGAATTTCTGGCGACAAAATGGGAAAGATTAGCGGGCTGACATCTTTTGAAAGGAAACAGAATGGAGTTTTCACGCTAGATTAAGAAAGGAACAGTAATCTTTTGGGGCGGGGTGGGGGGGACAAAAACCAGGGAATCCCAAATGGCAGGAGGGAAAAGGAATTGCTTGTCCAGGGGTTTGATGAATGAAGAGTAAGGACTTGAGACAGGTTAAAGAAAAGAAAAGGGTCCCAACAACTTTGAAAAGTTCTCCGTTGAAGTGGGAACCTGCCCCTCCCACTCCTTTAAAGTCAGGCTCAAGTTAACTAAATGAATTTAAAACTTTTTTTTTTTAATCAGTCAACTGCTATTACATGCCTAATAAGCTTTTAAATGCCTGGGGGCTTTTGCAAATAATAATAATGATAATAATAATAATAATTAAGCCAGGAAGAGACCCAAAGGGAAAACTTGAGTGGGAAAAGCACTCAAAAGAAGGATTATGATGAGGAGCATGATTTATTTATTTTTATTTTTTATGTTTTTTGAAACCTTGTGGGAGACAAGCACCTCCCAATCTGAGCTAATCGGGTTTGAAGAGGCGGAAAAAAAAGATTTTGAGAGGGGATTTAAAAGAAAAAGAGTGGAAAAGTTTTGGTTCGGTGTTAAACATAATCAGGACAGGGTGAAACTTTTAGCCATTAAATAGAAGCTGAAGAATGAAGCTTTTTGGGATCTGCGGGGGGGGGGGGGGGGGGGGGGGACGAAGAAATTTGCGATTTTTTTTAAATTAAAAAAATATTTTTGCTGGGAGGATTTTGTAAACCAGAAGCTGCTGCTCCAGATTTGATGGGGAGGGGAAGGAGAGAGAGAGACCGAGAAGGAGAGAAAAGACAGGATTCACACAAGAATGTGTTCAAATGGGTCATTCCTGGGTCAAGTGGTTGTGTGAATTGGGCTTTTAACGTAAACTAAACCACGGTGTAGTAGTTGCTGGGGCATTGTGCAGTCTGTGTTTGGATGGCATGTCAATTTTAGCTTTTTAATTTTAATTCTTTAAATCGTCTCTTCTTTTAAACTTTTGCATAACCGCACACGTGGTTTGTGGCAAACCCAGGGCCCCTCTAAAACACCCAGTTACACCCAGGCACACGCATACTAAGAACAGGACGCACCCGGGTAGAGGAGAGAGCAGATACACACCATGCCGGAAGGAATTCAGACCCGTATCTGTAGTACAAATTTTGCGGCATTGGTGGCACGAAAAAAAAATCTCCTTAAAATGAGAATGGGTCCCGGCTGGCTCGTCTTCCTGCGTCGAAAGGACCCCTCGCCGGCTGGGTCTTTCCATGATGCCGGGGTTCAAACAGGGCAAAGCGCACACGTGTCCGACCCCCGATCTTAGCCCTCGGAAGTCGGAGGAGGGGTAGAGAGACGCGGGCTTCCAGAATGCCGCACGTCTTTACCCGTGTCAGCCATCCCCCAAACCCAGTTCCCGGGAAGAATCAGAGCATTCACACGTGCAAAGTCTCGTTTTCCGTCAACGTCCCCCCCCCCCCCCACTCCAAAAACCCCCACAGTTGGAAAAGGGAAAACTCACCTCCGGAGAAGGATTGTGCCAGGACCTCCGCCGTGAAGGCCGTTTTGGGGTTCCCGTGGCCGCCGCTCAGGCCACCCCCGGCCGCCGCCGCCCCGCCGCTCTTCTCCTCCAGCAGCTGCTCCCCCAGCACGTTCCTCCAGCGGCCGTAGAGGAAGCTGTGCAGGATATCCGAAGTGATGACCTCGGCCAGGGAGAGGCTGGGGGGCTTCAGCGCCCCTTTGAGGACCAGCGCTTCGGCCGGCAGCACCGAGCCCATCATGGGGAAGGCCAGCGAGGCAGAGCCGCGAGGGTCGGGCGAAGAAGGAAGGAAGGGGCTCCGAGAGAGCTGGAGGGGAGGCGCGGCCCCCCAGCCGATTCCCAGCTCAGGGCCAAGTCGCGAAGTCTGGGACGCAACTCCGGGGCTGGAACATATATATGGGCCCGGGTGACCTTTCTAATTGCTTATTAATGACGCCCGCTCCTCCCCGACGGAGGGAGAGAGAGAGAGGGAGAGAGGGAGAGAATTTCCCCCCAGAATGAAGTCCAGAGAGAGAGGAGAGCCGAGAGGCGCCCCCTCCCCTTGGTGGAAGGGGTGGGGGCTCGGCTAGGAGAGGGGGGGGCGGGAGGAGGCGAGGCTCCGGCGGCCTGAGCCCACCCACCCACCAGGGAGACTGGGCTGCCCCCCTCCAAGGCACCTGCTCTACCAAGGTTCTTCGCAGACACCGGGAAATAAAGGGGAGGGGGCGCCCAACCACCCACCCGCTCACCAGGCTCGGGAAAAGAAGCTCGGGAAGAAGGAAGCTTCACCCGGAGCAGCGCGTCCAACGCCCCCCCCCCTGCCCACCTCCGCGGGGCAGCCCAAGGCGCCTTTGGGTTCTTCTTGTTCCCAATTCTCTGGGTTTTTTTTGGGGGGTGGGAGGGATTTGTTTTAACATTCAAAAGAACCGGGGCTCCCCGTCTTTTATCCCGGGGTTACCCCCCCCCCGTCCGAGTTTTAGCGGGTCCCAAGTCGAGGCGAGGCGGCTCCCGCGGAGCTGCCGGGCGAGCGAAAAAGCGCGCCGTGAAATTGACTCGAAAGGAGGGCGGGAAATTGACTTCTGGAAAATCGGTTCATAATTTTTACTTTTTTTTTACCAGATGGGATGGAGACCAAGAGTCTGGCTTCGTCCCAGCCCCACAATTTCAAGTCGGCCTCCACGCAACCCGCGCGCAACCGAAGGTTCCCCTCTCCGATCCTACACAAACACCCCGAACGGGCTGGGCGTAATCCAACAGTCCCGATTTCTCCCCAAATTTTCTCCTGAACCGGAGAAAGATTTAAAGCCATTTTTTTTTTAAAAAAAGCAGCTGTCCGAGTGGGAGGGAGGAACGGGCGGGTGACGGGGCGTCTGATTTATTTTTGTCAAATATTCATTTGGATCCGTCCCCCCCCTCTCCCTCTGCGCCCTTTCCTTCGCCAAGAAGGCGCGGGTCGTGCGTTCTTTGAGCAGCGCCCCTTTTCCTTAGGGACAGGAGGGGCGGGATCCCTAAACTCCGACCCCCACCTTGTGCAAAAACAAAAAGGGGGGGCGCAATTCAGCGCCGGACAAGGCAAGGGCGCGCTGGCCGGTCTGCGGGACGCGCAAAAGATGCGGGGCGCGCCCGGGGGGGGGGAGAAGAAGAAAAATAAACG